ATGGGGAGAAGGAGGGGGGGGAAAAGGGCGGAAAGCACTCTTCCTCTTTCCGCAGCTGCGTCCGGTAACCTTTGACAGAACCATTCGGCCAGCCTCCCCCCCCCACGTTCAGTCTAAATCCTTGTATGATGCTCTTGCATCATCGAACCTAGCCGGCTGCTTCGTCCGCGTCCCCAAATCTCGAGTCTTTAGCGTTCTGACATCCTCACTCGAATTTCATGCCGTGAGTTGTGCAATGCGAATGTGAACCTTGGCAGCGCTGCAGCATAGTCAATCGCAATCCGAAAGGTGAGTGAAGCAGCTCGTTTCGAGCAAATCGTCGTACGTGTTGCGAGCAAGCGTTTTGTGCATGTGCGAATGAACCGTCTCCGAACAAATTTGTGCGCATCAACTCTACGAAATACGAGGCTCAGAAATCGTCTGCGCTGCCGAGAGACGGTCTTCATACCATCGAGGCTCAGATCCGCCGGAGGCAAGGGGCGCAGAGCTTGCGGATCATCTTCCTGCTCTTTCGCGCGAGCGACGAGCAATAGGGCCCGGATGGACTGGATGAATTGCACATGACGAGCCACGCGCTCGATGTTTGGTAATGTCACCAAGGCTAGCTCGGCAGAAGTGTGAAGAAGCAGGAGGCAGAGAGAGGAGTTCCGAGCAGAGAATGCACAACGAAGATTCTCAGCGGAGTTTGGGAATATTTATATGCTGCCCAGCATTGCTGTAATTCAGCTTATTGTACCATTTTGGCACAGTGAGTCGACCTCTATTCTGCCTGACAGTATCCCCATTCTCCACGATGGTCTTCTTAAAGTCTGCATCTTCATTGAAGGCTTTGGCCTCAGCAACGAATTCCTCTTGCTTGATCTTGGCAACGGCAGCTTTTTGCTTTTCTACCGCCGCCTTTGTCGCCTCTATTTCCGCTTTGGCGAGCTTGGGATCAACGGGAGTCTGTCCACCGGGCGCCACACCCCCTGAGCCATGTTTTCCAGCATTTGCAAGTCCTTTGATACCATCCAACAGCAAAGGTAACGTGGTGAGTCCGCCAACGACCATGCCAGCGGTCCCTGTAAGTAGACGCCGATTGAGCGCAGTTGGCTGCAATCAGTGCCGGGGTCGACAGGGCAAAGTAACGAGATGCGTCGATCGAAGCAAAATTGCAGCGCAGACCGGAAACGTCGAGGGCCGCATCGAACGAAGGATCGACCAATCGATCAAAGTCAGTGTTGAAGCAAGAACAAAATCACGATGACGTTGCGCCGTGTGTAAGGGTAGTGTGGCATGTAAAACACAGATGGGGAAAAACAGGTAAAAGGGAAAGAAGCGCACCTTTGTCAGCCAAAATCCTTCCCCTTATTTGACTACAAACTTCTCAAGCCGCTACTTCACGCACCGAGGTGCTTTCCGACCCAACGACGCTCGATCGCTCCACGATAACAGGTGCAAGCTCCCTCGCCGTCCCGCTTCTCCTTCTCAGCCGTCCGGTTGGAGGTTTGCTAGGCGCTGGAGAAGGCTCGGCCGTAGGTGCAGGCACATGCTCAGGTTGCTTTTCAGGTTGCTTTGCTTGCGCCTTTTTCTCCTTTTTCTTGACCGGAGCTGGCGCAGGCTCGGTATCGAGTGCTTGCGCCTTGTCTGCAGCAGCTTGCTGCGCAGCAGCAGCTTTAGCTCTCCACTTGTTGACCGTAAGACCAAATTCCAGCTCCTTTTTGACGTCGAATGTGCTCGGATTGATGGTCGTTGGCGCTGCTTCCGCTTTGCCGCCTCCGTGGTGCATGAACATGGGTACGAAAGATAATCCCATCAACCCTGTACCGATGGGTCCGCCAAGGGCTGGGATCATGCGTCTTTGTAGTCCGAGCGGGGATTGAGAATCATGATTGGCACGGCGGTCATCGAGGGCTGGCTCGGATGTCGGCACCGGAGCCGCTGTGCATGGAGTCTGCGTGGATGCGCTGTAGCAGTATAAGATCAGACGATTCAAAAGTTCAGCCTGACGCTCTTAGCATTTGCGACAGGAAGGAGATAGACTCACAAGAGCGCTAATGTGCTCCAAGCCCAAATACGAGTGCCTCGCATACTGACTTGAAAGACTTGGTGTCGTCTGGCGACGCAATGAAGCGCACAGAGAGATGTCGAGTGGAAAAGAGACCAGCTCCTTGGGATGAATGCGTGCTTGTGAGAGGATATCTGTGTGTCCAGAGAAGAGCGACGTCCGGCGTCTCTTGATACTTTTGTGAGGATGCTATTGCGCAGAGCAGTGAGCTGACCAGCAGCTAGTAGCAGCGAATAAATAGTCACAGTCTGGAGAAAGCGTTGCAAAGTGGTAGAAAAGGGGAAAGTGTTTGCGTGGACATGGAATGGGGCACAGACGCGTTATAAACACTCGCCCGTCCACCACGGGTACAACGCCGTCTTGTCAGGAACGCGATAAAGTCCACTACGCAGCACGATCTCCATGGCATCACCGCGCTCGCTCATCCACGCCCAACATCGTCGCCGTAGTCAATATGGCGTCCCAAGCGCCTCTTTGAGCAGGCGTCGCGGCTTGATCGAGCACCGCGGCAGCTGCATTCACGATTGTATTCTGCGCGAGGTGCGTCACACCGCCTACCGTTTTGACTGCATGGCACTGGCACTGGCAGGCTGGGCAAGCCAATTCTTGGACCCCTTACGATTGTGTTGTACTGGCTATGGCCAGTGCCGACAGAGGAGGAAATCGAAGTGTCGCCGGCAGAGAATGAAATGTAAACAATACTGTGACGTCAATAGTCGCAAAGCAAAGGGCGCAACACGAGCAGCGTCTCTGATCAGACTCCGGCTCATCTCACCTCGGGTCCCACGCGTCGCGCCCACTTCGAGCGAGCGAGCGAGCGAGCGAGCGACGACGCTCATGACTTTGAGAGCTCAGGCGGCGCAGCTTTCCAAATTGGGCGCACTTGTGCCCAGCACGTCGGGGGGCGCATGCACAGGGCGCAGGGCGGCGCCCATTCTTGATTGACAATTCGTCATCCTCACTCAGACGCCCGCCCGCGCCCGCGCCCGCCCACGCCCGCCCTACGCCTTCCGTGTGTGCGAGCGAGTCATGCACTTTTCGACGGCATCATCTGCAACAATCGACCAGACAATTTGCGCATCTTTCTTTGCTGTTGCTGCTGCTGCTGCTGCGCCCTGCTTCTCCTTCGTTCTCCGCGTATATATTGCCGTGTCAGCTCCGTGCATGGGCTGCCCAAAGCGCGGAATGGTGAATGGTGAATGAAGATAATCACGGATTCTATTGCATGCGGCTGCGACAAATTGCACTGCGCCACAATGACTGCGCACGTGTTATTGCCGCTGCTCTCTGAATCGTTCTGTAGTGTGTCATGTTGCTGACCATGCGCAGCCAAGGTGCATCTGAAAGCGGTCCGTTGCTGGTTTGGAGTTACTCTGCTCGATCGAGCACCCGGCCGGCCCTGAGCATGCAGATTCCGCAACGCGATCGAGCAACGAGCGCGACTTGTCAATTTGGCGGCGCAACACTTGCCCGAGCTAGGCTCGTGCAAGCGATGAGCTGTTAGCCGTGACCCTCGCGATCGCCGGGGCACAAAAGCATGCAACAAGGTACGTAGTAGATGACCAATAGATTGCTCCGAAGTATAGACAGCGCTGCTATATTCAAAAAAGGGGGAGGCTTGTCTCCTCTCT